TCCCCACCATGAAAATCTCTACCATGGAAACCTCTGACCCACAAGAAACCCTATACAAATCCTATCTTCTGCTCCCATCTCTGCTGCTTCACACAGAGGCAGCCACCCTCCTGGATTTCCCCTCCCAACGTCTTGTATGAGGATTGCTGTGTAGAGTGACTTTGTGGTATTCCTTGGCTCCCAACTGCCAGGACACCTTTCCCTTCAGAGCTGTAACACTTGAGTTGAGGAAACCGCCCCTCAGAGCTGTAACACGACTGGAACACAGGTGCTCTCATTTGTGTATTTTTTGGGGACTGTGGGGCTGTAACACGACTGGAACAAAGAACTCTCATTTGTGTATTTTGGGAGGCTGTTTTTGACCTACTATTAGAGTCGCACTGTGCCACGGAGACATTTGGCTTGTGGGTTTCAAACACTTCAATCCTCTGTCATTTAATGAAGTTTGCTGTCTCAAAGTCAGAAGGCTTAGTGGGTAAAGGTACCTGCCTCCAAGTCTGACCACCTGAGTTTGATCTCTGGGACCCCATCTGAAGGAGAGAATCAACTCCTGAAAGTTGTTACCCCTCCACGTGTGCTGGGCACAGAACACACACACACACACACATGCACAGTTTTTTTTTTAAGGCCCTGATGGTGTGAGCCTTTCAAATTTACACTCCCCACTTCCCCGCCCCAGAACCATGAGCTCTATAAATCACCTCATCTGCAGTGTTTAGTAACTGGTGACTAGAAATTTCACCTTGAGCTGCTATACTAGATGAGAGGTGGCAGCATTTACTGAGACAGACAGCCGGGGGGAAACACAAATTCAGGTGTAGTGATATTTTGTTTGTGCTTTAACAGATAAAGCTTGCCTGAAGGTTAGAGTGCAGAGCTAAACCACTAGCAACCAAGTTGTGGTGGCTCACACCTTTAATCCCAATATTTGGGAGTCCGACACCTTTAATCCCAGCACTAGGGAGGTGGAGACAGGAAGGAATATGGCTGGGCAGAAAGAGGAATATAAGGCAGGAGGAGCCAAGAGCTCAGATGCAGTTTGGAGATGCAGTTGCCCCTTTGGTCTGAGCATTGGTAGAGGTAAGAATTCTCCTGTGGCTGGCCGCTCTGCTTCTCTGATCTTCAGCATTCACCCAATAGCCGACTCGAGGTTTGTTTTTTTTATTATTATTTATTTATTTATTATGTATACAATGTTCTGTCTGAGTGTATGCCTGCAGGCCAGAAGAGGGCACCAGACTTCATTACAGATGTTTGTGAGCTGAGAATTGAACTCAAGACCTTTGGAAGAGCAGGCAATGCTCTTAACCTCTGAGCCACCTCTCCAGCCCTGACTCCAAGGTTTTATTATTATAATACCAATTAGAATTCATGCTACACTTAGGGGTTTTTTTGTTGTTGTTTTTGTTTGTTTGTTTGTTTTTCAGACAGGGGTTCTCTGTGTAGTCCTGGCTGTCCTGGAGCTCACTTTGTAGACCAGGCTGGCCACAAACTCACAGACATCCTCCTGCCTTCTGAGTGCTGAGACTAAAGGTGTGCACCACCATGCCTGGGTACAAATTCAGGCTTTTAAAAAAAGGATTTTATGTGTATGTTTTACCTGGATGTATGTCTGCGTATGAAATGTCTGTCTGGTGCCTGTGGAGGCCAGAAGAGAGTGTTAGATCCTCAAACTGGAAATATGGATGACTGTAAACTACCACATGGGTGCTGGAGGTTGAACCTGAGTCCCCTGGAGGAGCAGCCAGTTCTCTTAATGACTATATCATCTCTCCAGCCCCCCAAAATCAGATGCTTTCTGGGTTTTGGTCTTAATGCAGAGGGGGAGAGATAACTAACAGGCTGGAGAAGCTCCTGATGACCTTTGGCGTCTGGCTCACTTTTATCTGTTTGATTGTAGTGATGTTGGGGACCGAACCCATGGTCTTTTATGTGCTAAACACATGACTTACCACTTGGCTCTCCTCAACTCTGAGGCTTCCTCAAAGACCAAACACTAAAATTTACGAAGGAGGATTCCCTCCACCCATGACTTGACACTAATACATAGGACATAGGTTCTGATTGAAAATCAACTTCTCGTTCCTTTCTAAGCTGAAGGGAGGACAGCTGATCTGATGAACAAAGACACTGCTCAGTTCCTGCCAAATGAGAACCTTCAGTGACGGCTCCACTGCTCTCTTCCTTTTTCTGAGACTTGATCTCATGGAGCTCTGTTTGACCTCGAACTTGGTGGCTGAGAGGGATCTTGAATCCTCATCCCCCTGCCTCCACTCCTCACCTCACATGCTGCCATTACAGGAATGTGCTATCATGTGTTTACCACTTTGCACATTACATAATTCATTCGCTGGAGTTAACAATACTTTGCAACATTAGTAAACTTCAAAACCCCTACAGAACGGCCAGCAAAATGGCCCAGCATGTAAAGTTTTTGCCTCAAAGTCTGATCCCTGAAACTCACAATGGAAGGAGAGAACCAAATCCTTAGTTGTCCTCTGACTCACATGTCTCTGTCTCCCTCACACACACATACACCAAATAACAGAAACTAAAACCTTAAAAAAAAATACCGTACAGCTGAGCATGGTGGTGCATACCTTTACTTCCAGCACTCAAGAAGCAGAGGCAGGTGGATCTCTGTGAGTTTGAGGCCATAGTGAGTTCCAGGCCAGCCAGGACTACTCAGAGAAACCTTATCTCAAAAAATAAAAACAAAAACCAAACCAAAAACTCATACAGAGGTTGGGAGATGGATAGTTCTTTTGGTAAAGTCTTTGCAAAGCAAGCTTGATGACTCAAACTACCTCATCCCTGGATCTCATGGACTATACAAGAAAGCTGACTATGGTGGTGTGTGCTTGAAATCCCAGCACAAGGGAAGAAGAAAAAGGTAGATTTTGTTTTTGTTTGCTGTTGAATTTCAGGCCAGTGAGAGACAAGGTAGACAGTGCTTTAGGAACACCAGCTGAGAGTCACCTCTGACACTTCTCTTTCTTTCTCTCTCCCTCTCTCCTTCTCTCTCTCTCTCTCTTACACACACACACACACACACACACACACACACACACACACACACAAAAACCTGAAGAAAAAGGCTTACTCAGGCAAAGTAGAAAATGTTTACTAAATGATACATTATACACTTAAAATCACACATTTATTTATAAGAAGAAATTAAAACACACCACTATCTTTTTTTTTTTTTTTTACTTATTACATGAATGAACTTCGGGCCTCTCCTACAGAATGAGAAGAAACAATTCATGAGGTCACTCTAGTGTGGCTAGGTTCCAGGTCAGTGTGTGATAGAAGGAAGAAGAATGCACTTATTTTAGTAGCACGCTTAGCAGATAGCTGTCCTAAAGTTACACACGCCACCTTTCTGAAGACAGTCTGTGTCAGTCTGTCTTGCAGACCTCACATGTCAAGGATATGTTCACTGGCCTGCTCTGTGACATTGGAAGCCCATTTCACTCCACTGCCACCTCCCTGCCACTAACTTCCTTGGCCAGTGTGCAGGGATGAGTCCTTCCTCTCCCCACCACAGCCATGGATTCTGTTAAGAAAAGATCTCATCCTGAACCTCAAACTCATGGCAATCCTCCTGCCTAAGTGCTGTGATTCCAGCTGTCAGCCAGCAGATCTGGTCAGAATTATCATGTGATAAGGACTCTGAACCTTCCTTAGGTCCTTTAACGGTACCAGCAGTCTCCAGCTGGCCAAGGGACAATTTCAGTAGACCACCACAGCATGAGTCTGAAGAACAGAACAAAATGCTCGAGGCCCTCTCATGGTTTAGATGCTAAACATTACAAGGAAGACAGGTTTCACACTCATGGAGTTAAAAAGATTGGGAAAGGAGACAGATTGGAATCATTAATTTAACAAAACGAAGGAAGGAGCATCAAATGCTCCTTTGCCTCAAGTCCGCTGATCGCAGACACTTGGCTGCTAAGGGAAGGTGCTCTCAGGTGATTAACTCCACAAGGCTGTGGCTGATGCTGATAAAAAGCAATAGTTATGACACATGGAAGGTTTTATAGAAAAGCTGAAAACAGCCAGGCGGTGGTGATACAGCCTTTAATTCCACGCAGCACACGCAGCACACGGGAGGCAGAAGCAGGCGGATCTCTGTAAGTTCAAGGCCAGCCTGATCTACAGGACTGAGTTCCACGGCAGGGTCCAAAAACTACAGAGAAACCCTGTCTTAGAAAAATAAAAAACAAAAACAGAAAAGCTGAAAACAATCACGAGTGAAAATACTTATGAATTGGTCTCTCTATATTGTTTGAGACAGGGTCTTGGTATATAGTCCTGGCTGGCCTTAAACTCACAAAGGTCCACACAGTCAGATCTTCAGATCTAGGGACAGATGGACATTGGCACTCCTTTTTGTCTGTGGCTCTGTATTGTATGTAGTAAGAGGCCTTTTGTTTGTTTCCTGGCCGCCCGGCAGTTCAGACCCAAAATAATCACTCAGAAACTGTATTACTTAAAACACTGCTTGGCTAATGACTCTAGAGTATTTCTGGCTAACTCATATCTTAAATTAACCCATCTCCATTAATCTGTGTATCGCCATGAGGCTGTGGCTTACCGGGTAATGTTCTGGCGTCTGTCTCTGGTGGCTACATGGTGTCTCTCTGACTCAGTATTGTCAGGAAGGTTGGGTATTTTGTGACAGGAGTATGTACCAGTCGCTACATGATCAGTAACCATGCTGTTAGCATTTTCAGTTTCTTGCCCCAGTGGTGGAGATCAACCCAGGGCCCTGAGAGGAGAGCAGGTACTTAACCACTGGGCCACCCCCACAGGCCGGATGTTTGCTTTGTTTATGATACTGTAGACTCCAGATGTTAAAGGAAGGGTACCAACATGGTACACAAGCCATCTTTTAAGGCAAAAAGGTACTGGCATTTTAGTTTTTACCTTACTATTAAAAAAAAGACCCATTTACCATCTTCAAAATATGTGAATTTGATTTTAAGACAGTCAAGTACTCTATGACTTCAGTGATTTTATTGGAAGTACCAACACAAGGAAAAATTGTTCTAGAAATCAATTTTAATTAATGCTTCTAAATATTTTCATTTGGAAGATGAAGGGAATGAACATGCCTAGCGGCTAAAATGGTACCCGGGCTTTTTCTTGGTCAAGTCATCTTACAGAAGGTTAGTATCATTTGTGGGTCTAAGTCCTCAAACTAGGTGGGCACTTTGTAGAAACACAGAGACTGGGTGGAGATCCCAGGTGGATAAGGAGACGTCAGGCACCACATAAACACTGCCTCGGTATTATTCCCATAGGCAGAGGGCTCAGTGGAAAGGTTTTTGTTTGTGTGATACTCAAGCCCATGCCACATGGGTTCCCTCCCCATCAACTAGCTGGATGGCCTTGAGCCATAGAGAGAATCTGTCCCCACTAGAGAGGGAAAGTATGAGATGGCAGTAGGTGGGGAAGAAGGGCTCATCTGATATCCACACACTTGCAGGTGTCAAGTCCAGCAGTTCTGTCTGAATCCTTCTACTGAAATACAGGACAAGAACAGAGGCCATTTCTGGATCTAATACGGGTTGTTTTCAGGGAGAGAGAGTTATAGTGTGCTCAGTGTGTGTACAGGCATGTCCACAATGACTGACATGTAGAGTTTTGGAAGGACCCTTCCTTCTGCCACAAGCCCAGGGTTCCTTCACATCTGAATTCACATTAAGGCCTTGGAGTAAGAAACACAGCAAATGAGTAAACAGAAGGCAGCTGTTATGAAGCTGACATTCTACCCGCATCTGTGCACACACTCACAAAAGGAGAAATGCAGGTTTCTTCCCCTCCCAGCACAGTAGTCCAAGGCTCAAATTCACAATTAGTCTGCCGTGTTAAGACTACAGCTCAGCAGACAGCTCACAGAACTTCAGGGGTGTTGATCTTACCAAAATGTGGAACACACGTATTTTTTTCCCATTGAAACTAAATTTTCTTAAGACCCACATTTGAACACACACGTTAAATTACATACTGTGTAATCAACAACATTCCTTAGGAGTTTAAAAGAAGCTTTTGAATCTTTTCATCACAACTGAGTAGAATTCCTTTTTCAGTTTCTTTAGAGTTGACGAACTTTTTTTTCTGTGCTTTTTATATTGATATCTAACTTGTCCACTTTGGTTGTTAGCCGGTCAAGAATGTCGTCCTGCTCCTCAATTTCCGTCTGCATTCCTAAGGCTATGTTCTTGAGTCGGCCCAGTCCCATGGACAGCTCATCTGTGAAAAGGAAGTGACAGGCAGTCACATAATCTATAGGTGCTTCCTGCCCCTCTGGATGCTCAGTGGTATCTGGACTGCAGAGTCCTGTCTAAGAGACTGTCACAGCTTGTAATAAATGTTCTCAAAACACACAGACATGAAGAAATCTACGTACTCCATATTACTATGTGGTTAACATAAGTAGAAGCCACTGCCTGTTTCCTCTCCCCAGATAACCACAGTTAATATGTTTGTTTGTATGTGTGTGTTTTACCAAAGTCTTGATAGACAGCTCTGGGTGGCCTGAAACTCACTATCAATCCAGGCTGGCCTTGAAGTCACAGTGACCTCCCTGCTTCTGCTGCCTGAGAAGATCATAGGGCCACTACCACAAATAGCATCTTTCTCCATAGTGTTGGAGAATCAAATCTAGGGCCTTGCATGTGCTGGGAAGGACTCTGATACTGAGTCACACCTTCAGTTTCCTTATATTTTTCATTTTGAAACAGGATCTCACTCATTTTCCATGCTGGCCCAGGATTTGTAATCCTATCTTAGCCACAATTGCTGGGATTACAGGGGTTTGCCACTAAGCCTTGCATACTACGCTTCTTGAGGTCCTCGTGACCTTGTGTTTCCTGGAAAGTAAAAGTTTAGTGGGCATTCACCCAGGCCTCATGGAGATTCTTGGGTTTGAGGACAGTAAGGACAGGTAAAAAAGGCTGAGATAAACACCCTGGTAGATTGTGGGACACACTTCTGGTGTGAGCACTTGCTGAACAAGCATGAAGATCTGAGTTCAGATGCTTCGCACCCACATAAGTCATGTAGTTTTATCCCGGATACAGAATATAAGCCCCAGGGATGCCTGGGTCTGGTCAGGAGTAAACTAAGTGAAGAGGATGACTTGGTTGGACTGACAGCAGGAAATGGAGAGAAGTGGACGGGTTCCCGAGAGAGTGGGGCAGTAAGATGGACACGACTGTGTGGGCTGTGACGTGGGGAGGAAGCAAGGACGTGGCTTGCTTCTGGAGGCTGTGTAGTTCCCAGACTTACCGAGGTTGCTGTCGATCTTCTGGTGATAGGCACGAAGGCTTGAGTTCTTTGGGTAAACATCAGTAGTCACAGCAGAAGTGGGGATCGGGTCTAGTCCAGAAAGAACACCAGAGGGACAGTTCACTGAAGGTTGCTCTTTTGTGAAATTGCCCATTCTTTTCCAAAGTCCTAGGAATCTGTCCCCAGGGATCACTCATACCAGGAAAGAATGAAAAGAGTGGAAGGAAGAAGGTGGCTGGCTTTGAGGCCATGCAGAGAGACAGGGGTGGGAATGGGACAGGGTTACAGGCTGGAGAAATCAAGTCTGCGCTCCAGCCAGTCCCCCAACATTAGCAGATTGAGGACTCTCAACTTACAAGTCACCAGGTGAGATATGGAAAAAGGCATGTATGTAACAATACAACAGGGAACTGTCAATGTAGAGCTACAAGCTCACAGGCAAGCTCTGGGACACAGGTTGTTTTGGTTCTTTATGCTGAGGATTGGAACCAGGGCCCTGTGCATGCTGGGCAAGCACTCTACAGTAGAGGTATTCCATGAACCTGTCTACCTCTTAGTTTTCTGAGCTTGTATGTGTGTGCTTTTGAGACAGGGTCTCGCTATGTTGCACAAGCTGACCTCAAACTCTTGTGCTCAAGCTATTCCTGTAATAGCCAGGACTACAGGTGCATGCTACTACACCTGGCAGAGCTGGCAGAGCTGGGTTTAAAAATCAAAGCTGTTAAGCTATGTGTGCATGCCTATAATCTAGCACATGGAGCAAGACGGTCAGAATATTAATGAATTGGAGGCCAGACAGGGCTAAATGAGACTCAGTCTCAAAAGAAACAAAGTAAAATCACATCAAACCATACAAGGCACAAAACAAAGCAAAGATCAAACTGTTGCTTGGAGTAGTAGTTTGGAGCTGAAACCCCAGCATTTGGGAGGCTGAGGCAGCAAGATCACGAATTCAAAGCCAGCCAGAGCTCTATAGTAAGATGATCTCAAAGAGACAAAAGGAAATGGAGTTAGGTTATAAAATTAAGCTTAAGATTGTCTATTTATTTATCTTTGACGAGCAGGCAAGCAAAAATGAATATGCTTTAAAAAAACATCAAACTAGCTGGGCCATGATGGTACACATCTTTAATCCCAGCACTTGGGAGGCAGAGGCAGACAGATCTCTAAATCAGCCTGACCTACATAGTAAGTTGCATGGCAGCCAGGGCTATAGAGAATCCCTGTCTCAAAAAACCAAAAACCACAGAGAGGGAGAGCAAGGAAAGAGATACCTTGATAGAGGGAGCCTGGTGTGGGAAATCCTTCTGTATATATGTTGCTTTTATTGGTTAATGAATAAAGAAGCTGCTTTCGGCCAATGGCTTAAGAGAAAATAGCCAGGCTGGAAGAGATATATACAGAGAGAGTAGGTGGAGTCAAGGCGACGCCATGGAGCCATTGTTGGAACCTTGTCGGTAGGCCACGAACCTCGTGGTAAAATATAGAATAATAGAAATGGGTTAATTTCGGAGATAAGAGTGAGCCAGAAATATGTATAAGCTAATAAACCAAGCAGTGATTTAATTAATAGTTTCTGTGTGGTTATTTCGGAGCTGAGCAGCTGGGAACACACAAGCAGCCTCCTACTACAGGAGTCATTATGGAGTTAGCGAGAAACCAGGCACTAGGGAAACTCCCAGGAAACCACAAAAATGACCCCAGCTAAGAATCTATAGCAATAGTGGAGAGGGTACCTAAACTGCCCTTCCCCTGTAACTAAACTGATGACTACTTTAACTTCCAATAACTGTTGGAAGCAGAGGCAGAGATCCACAGCTGAGCACTGTGCCAAACTCCTTGAGTCCAGTCATAGAGAGGGAGGAGCGACATTACGAGCAAAGGGGTCAAGACCATGATGGTCAAGACCAGACTGACAGCTGAGGAAGCAGCATAAGACTGAACTAGGCCTCTGAATGAGGGTGACAGCTGTGTGGCATGGGCAGGTGGTGGGACCACTAGCAGTGGAACCAGTGTTTATCCCTAGGGCATGAACTGTTTCTTTGTAGCCCATTCCATAAGGAGGGATACCTTGCTCAGCCTAGATACAGGGGGGAGGGCCTTGGTCTGGCCTCAAGTGATGTGACAGACTTTGTTGACTCCCCATGGAAGGCCTCACCTTTTCTGAGGAGTGGATAGGAGTGGGGAAGGGAGAAGGTGGGAGGAGCAGGAGGACAGGCGGGAGAGGGAACTGGGATTGGTATGTAAAATCAGATTATTTTAAAAATAAAATTAAAAAAACAAAAAACTTAAAATTAAAATTAAAAAAAGAAAGAAAAGAAAAAAGAAATAGAAATTCTTAAGCATATACAGAAACATCCTCTCTCCTCTTTTGAGATGGGGTCTTGGGTAGCTCAGGCTGGCCTTGAACTTGGTACGTAACTGTCTCAGGTGTGATTCTGCTGTTGTTACTATGTAGAGCTGACTCATTAAATTCTGACACATGCGCACACACATACTCTCATCCCTCTGGTCTTGTTCCTCTAGAGAACTCTGACTAAAATACTTGACATTTTCATTTTTTGTTTTGTTTTTCTGAGAGTCTGGCTATATCATCTAGAATGACCCCAAACTCAAACTCACAATATCCCTTCCTTCACTTCCTGAGTGCTGGGACTACAAGCATGAGCCACTATACCTGGCTTATTTTCCAACTGTGAAAGACCAACATGCTAAAAATGGAGCCAACATGACACCCCAGAATAAATTCTCTTATTTCAAGAGGCCATCTGATTAGCCACTCTAGTTACATACAAAGCCATATTCTTTCGCCTTTAACATACTCAAGAACCCTGGGTGGAGGAAAACATCTCTAAGGGCCGTTTTATTTACAACAAGGATTGTCCTACAAATTTAGGGTTTTTTTGAGGGGGGGGCAGGGTTTCTTCTTGTTTTGTTTGTTGAGGCAGAGTTTCATATATTCCAGGCTGGCCTCAAGTTCAACATGTAACTGAGGCTAGACTCAAATCCTGATTGGCTCACCTCTGCCTCTCAAGGGCTGAGATTATAGGTGTGTTCTGTCATAACTAGCTTTACAGTTGGCTTTTTTGCTACTAGAATTTCTCAGAGCTACACCAGTAGATGGTTCGTGTTCAATGGGATACAGGTTCCCACTTCCTTAACCAAACTCCATGGGGGAGCGAGGTAGGGAGGAACCCCACTGTAACACATACCTCTGGATCCCCAGAACACTTTGTGTCCCTGATGTCATCACCTAGCATGTGGTACTGTGGAGACAGCTGTCCCCACACTGGTACTCCAGGATCAGCAGAGACCCACCCCACAAGGACCCACCTGAGTTCTCACATGCGTACTCACCTTCATCATGCAGTCTTCTGAGGTTTGGGTGGCTGGCTTGGTACTTGCTTTCCTGTTCTCTACTTGTATTTATGGCTTCTTTCAATCTTCAGGTGAAAAGAAACATGAAAGGAAAACACATGACAATGTCACCTCTGTGCGAGTGTGCACAGCAGTGTGGCCCATCTTTTCCACCACACCTTTGTGTCACATATCCAAGGCTTCCCTTTGCTGTCCACTCTGGAGCCACACAGTGGGCTGAGGAAGACCTTATTCAGGACAGGGAGTCCTGGGTCAGGTGGATGAAAAGTCCATGAACAGACCAAGTGGGTGCCTTTAATGAAGAATCAGCAAATTATGACCTACAATCTAGTTTCCTTTTTTTAGCGTAGCCCAGGCTAGCCTCAACCTCAACACGTACCTGTTGAAGATCACCTTAACTTTCTGACCTTCCTGTCTCCACCTTCCAAGTTCTGGGATTACATCTCACCTGGCCCCACATTTCTCTTATTGTGATAATAACATAAAAATCTATCACTCACTTTTAACCTAAGCAAAGAATGGCTTTTAAATATGACCTGAATGATAGGTAAATCAACTTAGAAATTTAAGTCTTCAAAAAACAAAAACAATAAACAAACCCAGAGTCATAGGGCTGGAGAGATGGCTCAGCAGTTAAAAGCACTTGCTTCTTGTCCAGAGGATGTCAAGTTAAGATCTAAGCACACACATTGGGAAGCTTACAACCATCTGTAACTCCAGCTCCATGGAATCTATTCTGACCTCTGTGGGTATCCACACACGAGACAGACACACACACACAGAGGCACAAATTCAAAACAAATAAAACAAAAAAAACTTAATTAAAAACACATACACAAAATAGGATCTTTTAAAAATTTTTTATCATATGTGCATTGGTGAGTGTGTTAGGGTCCCTGGAACTGTAGTTATAGACAGCTGCGAGCTGCCATGTGGATGCTGGAAATTGAACCTGGGTCTTCTGGAAGAGCAGTCAGTGCTTTTAACTGCTGAGCCATCTCTCCAGCCCGCACTTGTTTCTCTTGCAGAGGACCTGAGTTCAGTTCCCAGTACCCACATGGTGGCTCACAGACATCTGTAATTCCTCGTTGTAGTGGTGGCACATCCTTGTATTCTTGGCACTTAGACATGGAGGTAGAAGGGCAAAGAATTCAAAGCTGGCCTTGGCTAAATTATCAGTTTAAGGCCAATTAGGGCTACATGAGACTCTAACTCACCCAGCCCTCAAAAGAATCTGCAGGAGGTAGTGGCAGAGAGAGAGAGAGAGAGAGAGAGAGAGAGAGAGAGAGAGAGAAAAGAAGAGAGAGAGAGAGAGAGAGAGAGAATATTTTGGTAGTCCATGTTGGACCAATGCCATCACTGTGGCATGGGGGACTCTTCCTCAGGTGGTGCATCTTCTTCTACCACAAGAGCTAAGTGACCCCAACAGTGAGGACAGCTTTGGAAAAGAAGGGGCAGAAGCTTGCCAAAGGTCTAGAGCTGGCTTTCCAAATTATCTGAAGCTGCTCAGGAAGTCTTCTGTGAAGAAATACAGCTCAAAACAATCATGGGCGAGGGCCAACTGGCAATAGCACTTCCTGCAAATGTCCCAGCATCAGCAGTGCTGCAGAAGCTTCTGACCAAGCTGCCACCAGTCAGAGAACTGCAAGTGCTCAGAGACTGGCTGAAGACCACGTGGAGTGAGAAAACAATGCCCAATACAGGGTATCCCACTGCCTGTCTCTGAAGCCCTATGGAAGTGGAGATTTGGCCCAGGGCTTCCAAATGCTAGGCAAGCACTCTGCTAATGGAGCGACATCCCCAATCCTTATATATCCACACTTTACTAGTAAAACAGTATTTCAAACTGTGTGTGGAGGTACGAGACTATCATCCCAGAATTTGGGAGATGACAGCAGGAGGATCAGGAATCCAAAGTCATGTTCAGTTAAATGGTGATTTCAAGACCAGCCTTGATTGTCCATTACTTATTTCTCAAAAAATAAGACAAATCAAAGGCTTGTGAGAGAAGGCTCAGCAGGTAAAGGTTTGTCACTAAATGAAACAACCTGAGTCCAATCTTTAGAACCCACATGGAGGAAGAAGAGAATAAATTCCTGCAAGTGTTCTGCACATGGCTGAGGCTTGCATTCCCCTCCCCACAACACACACAAAACTAAAACCAAACCAAACCAAAACAAAACAAAAACCACTTTAAAACAAAACAACATAGAACAAAAATGACCTGAGGCATAAATAGTGGCCATCAGTTTTTAACAAATACCCAATACTTTTGTCTTTTATTTTAAAGATGATTTTATACACATGAGTATTTGCTTGCATGCACATCTGAACACCATGTTTGTGCTCCAAGGTCAAAAGAGGACATTGAATTCCCTGGAATTGTTTTATGGATGGCTGAGCGCCACCACATGGGTGCTGGCAATTGAACCCAGGTCCTCTGCGAGAGCACAGTGCTCCACTGCTGAGCCCTTCCCACAAGTGACTACTTGTTCCAGGATGCCTGCCGGAAAGCTGTGGCTCCTTCCACAGAACCTGTTTCTACTGTTTACATGTTCAGACTGCAGATGCTACACACTCACCTGCTGCTGGGCTGAGGGGCAATGCTGCCATTCTGTTCAGGTGGAGTCTCTACTGGTTTGGATTTGAAGTAGTTGATAAATCCTCCAAACACACTCTTAATGCTGTTGATATGTTTCTGGCTCGTCTTCAAATCCTGATCCATCTTGTCTACCATCTTCTCAGTGTGTTCTAGGACTCCTCGCTGCCGGACCAGCTCCTGCAGAAGGCAAGAGGCAGTAGCATCACGCCATCCCCCCTACTTCCAAAATCACAGTATATTAAAGTCTGAGGCTGGGAATGAATGTAGCTCAGCCGGTAGAGTGCTTATCTGGCATGCACAAAATCCTGGTTGGATCCTTAGCATCAACCAGGCATGGACACACACACCTATAATCCCACAAATTGGGAGGTGGAGGCTGGAGAATTAATTTAATGTTATATTTGGCTATAGAGTGACTTTGAGACAAGCTTGAGCCAGGTGAGACCCAGTCTAAAAAACAATGTAGCCAGGAACAGTAGCCTACACTTTTAATTCCAGCACTGGGGAACTTGGGAGAAAGAGACAGATGTGCTTGTGTGACTGCTAGGCAGACTCATGCTTTGTCTGGTTTCCTACAGGGCTGCTGTGGCCTCCATTCTTTTCTAAAGTATTAGCAAACAAAGTAACATCCCCCACCCTCAGACTTCTAGGCCAGTCAAGGGCACATAGAGAGACCTTGTTTAAAAAGAAGTTTAAATTTTTTTACTTATTCAATGCAATACCCATCAAAATCCCAGCAAAATTCTTCAAAGACCTTGAAAGAACGGTACTCAACTTCATTTGGAAAGAGCAAAAAACCCAGGATAGCCAAAACAATTATGTACAATAAAAGAACTTCTGAAGGCATCACAATCTCTGACTTCAAACTCTATTACAGAGCTACAGTACTGAAAACAGCCTGGTACTGGCATGAGAACAGACAGGAGGACCAATGGAACCAAATAGAAGACCTGGATATCAATCCATACATCTTCAAACACCTGATCTTTGATAAGGAAGCAAAAAATATCAAATGGGAAAAAGAAAGCATATTTAACAAATGGTTCTGGTATAACTGGATATCAACATATAGAAAAATGAAAATAGACCCATATCTATCACCATGCATAAAACTCAAGTCCAAATGGATCAAAGACCTCAACATAAAGCCAGCCACACTGAACCTTATATAGTGGGAAGTATACTTTGAACGCATTGGCATAGGGAACCACTTCCTAAATATAACCCCAGCAGCACAGACACTGAGAGAAACAATTAATAAGTGGGACCTCCTGAAACTGAAAAGCTTCTGTAAAGCAAAGCACATGGTCAACAAGACAAAACGACAGTCTACAGAATGAGGAAAAATCTTCACTAACCCCACACCAGACAGAGGTCTGATCTCCAAAATATACAAAGAATTCAAGAAATTGGACACAAAAAGATCATATAATCCAATAAAAAAAATGGAGTACAGATCAAAACAGAGAACTTGCAACAGAGGAATCTAAAATGGCTGAAAGACACTTAAGGAAATGTTCTTAGTTGTCAGAGAAATGCAAATCAAAACTCTGAGATTCCCTCTTACACCTATAACAATGGCCAAGATCAAAAACACTGAAGACAACGTATGCTGGAGAGGTTGTGGGGAAAAGGGAACACTTCTGCATTGCTGGTGGGAATGCAAGCTGGTACAGCCCCTTTGGATGTCAGTGTGGCGATTTCTCAGAAAATTAGGAAACAACCTTCCTCAAGACCCAGTAATACCACTTTTGGGTATATATTCAAAGGATGCTCAATCATGCCACAAGGACATGTGCTCAACTATGTTCATAGGAGCTTTGTTTGTCATAGCCAGAACCTGGAAACAATCCAAATGCCTCTCAACCGAAGAATGGATAAGGAAAATATGGTACATTTACACAATGGAGTACTACACAGCAGAAAAAAAAATAACGACAGCTTGAAATTTGCAGGAAAATGGATGGAGCTAGAAAACATTATTTTGGGGAGCTGGAGAGGTGGCTCAGAGGTTAAGAGCACCGACTGCTCTTCCAGAGGTCCTGAATTCAATTCCCAGCAACCACATGGTGGCTCACAGTCATCTATAATGAGATTTGGCACCCTCTTCTGGTGTGCAAGCATACATGAAAGGAATGTTGTATACATAATAAATAAATATTAAAAAAAAAGAAAACATTATTTTGAGTGAGGTAACCCAGACACAGAGAGACAATTATCACATGTACTCACTCATAGGTGGTTTTTAAACATAAAGCAAAGAAAGTCAGCCTACAAACCACAATCCCAGAGAACTTAGACAACAATGAGGACACTAAGAGAGGTTTACATAGATCTAATCTACATGGGAAGTAGAAAGTATAAAAAGACAAGATCTCCTGAGTAAATTGGGAGCCTGGGGATCTTGGGGGAGAATTGAAGGGGGAGGGGAGAGACAGGGAAGGGAGCAGAGAAAAATGAATATCAATATATATATTTATTGATATTAAATATCAATAAATTTCAATAAAATTATTTTTTTTACTTATTAATTTGGCTGAGGAGTAGGGGTCACACCTGGAGGTCAGACGACCACTTTAGAGAGGTCCTTTCTCCTGAGGATGGACCTACATGGGAAGTCTTGGCAGCAGGCATCTTTATGAATAGATCCAGCCCACCAGCTCATCTTTATGCCATTTTCATACACACTTTTGGTTTGCTCCCCTACTCTACTCTGTTTCTGATGTACCCTGCAGCTCCCCTCCCATTCCTCCTTCCACTTATACATCACATATTCCAGGATCCTCCCCACCTATTCAAAGTCCCCCTCCCCCATCTTATGGGCCTTTCAAGTCTCATGGCCGCTGCCTATACTTGTTCCCACTTAAAAAGACCAGCATGGTGGCACACGCCTTTAATCCCAGCACTCAACAGGTAGAGTCAGGCAGATGTCTGAGTTCAAGGTCAACCTGGTCTACAGAGTGAATTCCAGGATAGCCAGGGCTACTCAGAAAGACCATCTCAAAAACAAAAACAAACAACAAAACATACAATCAGAGAGAAAGAGAGACAGAGACAGAGAGAGAGAGAAAAGAAACCAGGATTCACTTATGAGAAAACATCTGAGATGTTTGTCTTTCTGACCCTAGATTACCACATTTAACATAATATCTTCCAGTTTCATATATTTTCCTACAAATTTCATAAATTCTCTATGGTGGAATAAAATTCAACTATGTATATATACCACATTTTCATGATACATTTATCATTGGACTTTTTTAGATTATTTATTTTGCCTGAATGTATATATGTGCACCACATATGTGCATGTTGCCTATAGAAGTCAGGGAAGGGTCTCAGATCCCCTGGAACTGGAGTTATGGATGGCCATGAACCACTATGTATGTGCTGAGACTGAACCTGGGTTATCTACAGGAACAACAAGCACTCTTAACTACTAAGCAATCCCTTCAGCCTCTACTCACACCGAGGCCAATTCCATGCCCTGACTATTGTGAAAAGAACAGAAATAAACAATCTCCTTTGGCTAGACACCCAGGAACACAGAGCTAGAGCACATTCTGCCCAGGTTCTGTGGCTCCACACTGACCCACAGTGGCCACACCAGTAGTTACACTCCCACCAACAGGGAGCAGCACTCCTTTTTCCCACAGCTTACCAGCATTTATTGTAATTTGTCTCTATGATGATGGCCATTCTAATTTCAGACTGAATCTCAAAGTAGTTTTAATCTGCATTTCCTTTCATGTCTAAGATGTTGAAGTCTGACCGAGTCTGTCTTCTTGCAGAAGACCAGCACTCAATTTCCAGCACCCACGCTGAATGCAACTCCTTTTCCAGGATTATCTCTGACGCCTCTGGCCTCTGCAGGCACCTGCACTTATGTGCATATACCCACACACATGTATACATAATTAAAAAATAATCTTGAGAGATGTTGAATACTTTTTTGTTTTGAGATCTCACTATGTATACAATCTTGGCTGGTCTAGAAATAGGCTATGTAGATCAGGCTGGTCTCAAATTCAGGGATGTTTTTAATTAGTGTGTGTGTGTGTGTGTGTGTGTGTGTGTGTGTGTGTGTGAGAGAGAGAGAGAGAGAGAGAGAGAGAGAGAGAGAGAGAGAGAACATAACTGCAGGTGCTCACTCAGACCAGAGGTGTCAGATTCTCTGGAGCTGAAGTTACAAGTGGCTATGAACCACCTGGTATGGTGCTGAGAACCAAACTCAGGTCCACTGCAAAATATTCTCTGGCTCTTAACCACTGGGCCATCTCCCTAGTTTTTTAAAATAAGGTTTTAACTGGGGATTTAACTAGGGACTTCATGCATGCTACGCAAGCATGCTACCATCAAACTGTATTTCTACTTTGTTTGAGACAGGGTTTCTCTGTGTAGCCCTGGCAGTCCTGAAACTGTCTCAGTAGAGGAGGTTGGGCTTGAATTCAGAGAACCACCCACCTCAGACTCCTGCGTGCTGGGGTTGAAGGGGTGCACCACTGTAACCTTTGCTACAGGACTGCTTGGCTGTATCCTAGAGGTGCTGGTGGGCTGTGCTCTCTCATTTTTACTTGATTCTCAGAATCTTACTCCCACCCCCCCTGCTCCTGCTTTCTTTAGTGACCCACTATTTATTCAAAAACATACTGATTCAGTCTCCAAGTGTTTGTGGGTATTTTTTTTTGTTCCTGTGGTTAGTTTTGCTATCGATTTCTAGCTTTATTTCATTTTTGTCTAATAAGATGTAGATAATTACTTCAAGTCTTTTTTTTTTTTTTGCCTAAAATTTAAGGCATGCTCTGTGGTTTACAATGTGATAAATTTTAGAGGAGGTTCCTTGTGTCACTAGAAAAATATGTACTCCCTATTCGGTGGATGGCATGTTCTGTAGATATCTGTTATATCCAGTTAATCTACGGTATAATTTAGTTCTGAGGTTTTGTTAACAATATTTGAGTTTGGGTCGGGCGGTGGTGGCGCACACCTTTAATCCCAGCACTTGGGAGGCAGAAACAGGCAGTCTCTGTGAGTTTGAGGCCAGCCTTGTTTACAAAAGGAGTTCTAGGACAGGCTCCAAAGCTACAGAGAAACCCTGTCTCAAAAAAACAAAACAAAACAAAAACAAAAAATAACCCCAAAAAACAATATTTGAGTTTGGAAGACCAAAGAGTGAC